TAAAAAAGGCGGCTCTCCAATCAATGAATTTTTATGGCAGCTACTCTTTCTTTGCCACTTGCTAATTGAATTATCAGCAAGGGAGGAGACGCGCTTGCGGGGCGACACCGCATTTGTTTTATACACGATATAGACGGAAGCGATCTGAAAGAAAAGTCACCCCTGCTGCTGCAGTATCGGGTGATTTTTTATCAGAGACAGCATCTGGGGACGTGAGCGCAAAGTGGACAAACGGAAAAAGGAATTTTTCTTTTCATTCTTCAATGTCAATTAGAAAGAAATATTCATTAAAATTTCCGAGTAAATTAACATAAAAGGATCATCAAATTAATTTATTTAAAATTCACGTCATATAAAGTTATGAAGATTTTCAAAATAAAAAGGCTTGAATATTGTATTTTGATCGGCTTAATTATAATTTCAGTTTTGAACCAATTAAATTATATAATCCGATCGAGTGAATCGGCTTGAATTTACTCCTCTTTCAGAAGCAGATTACGGCAGGGCTAGCTGCGGGGGTTGATAAATTGCCCTCTCATGATGCCGAACCGCACCTGCTGACACATGCAAATGATACAGCAAGTGTGCATGAAACTTTTGAACTCCATTCATGCGTGAGACCGCGCCGCTGATAATTAAAATTATTAATCAACCCTTTCGTTTTCTCCGGGGATTTGTCAGTGACTTTGTAGCAAGTTCGGCGCACGCGTCTCCTGCGGCAAAGTTTGCGTTCGTCTTTGAGAGGATCTTTGTCGGAATAATTAGCGCGCAGCAGTACGGCAGTGGCTCCGCAGATGAGGTGAAAGATTAGCGCCAGATTAACATGCGGCCCCTTATAAAAGTGCCGTTTTTTTAATTGGTGCAGGAAAGGGTAGAAGAAAAAAGAGCTCCCCTCTTGAAGTTTGCCTTGTTCTTGACACGCTTTTTTTGCATGAAAGAATTCACAGGATTTCCTTTGACGTTTTAACTAATTAAAAAATGAAAACTTCAAGCACTTCTTAAATTGGAGAAAAATTTGTTTTTGTTGATTTATTTGTAACTTGAAGTGTAAAATTACGAATTAATTATTTATTTTTTAAACAATTAAACAAAAGGAACAGCTAGAAAAATATTTTTAACTTCATTATTGAGACATGGAAATAATAATTTTGGATAAAAAACTGTTAAGATCATAATATTTGCTTTATGGCTAGGAAATTATCCAGAGAGGAATTAGCAGTTGACAACAGACATCAAATTTCATTGTTTTATATTCTTACTCGTTAAACTTAACTGCTAAATCCAAACACAGTCTCCTCTCTTGACACTCTTATTGTTCCGTTTTGGTTTTGCGTCAAGAAAATTATAAATTCGCTTTCGCTCCCTTGTCAGCGACGCAGAAGATTTTGTGCCCCGAGGATTTTTCTCCTCGTCCTCCTCCGCTTTACAGCACAATAATAAAATGATATGTATAAGATGCGGCGGGCCTTTTGTATTTTCAATTCAAGCCGAAAAATCATCAGCATTGTTATCCGCGCGTGCCAAATTGCTGCAACTTTTACTCCTTAATAATATGCAATAATACCCTTGAGGAGTGGAAAAAAATAACACACAGCGGCGGCAAATTTACCAATAAAAAATGAGAGGAGAAACAACGACGCGAGCGACTGATGCTGTCACTTAAGAAAAATTTGATACGCATGAAAAATGCACACGTTAAAAATCGAGTGCTTCAAACAAAGGTGGCTCGGAAGGGCGTGAAAAATCGCGCCACTACTCAGCGCGTCAGCTTCAATTATTTCCCTGCAAGAGAAATAAATTGTGTTCAAAAACACCAGATGAGAGAGATTCGTCTCTGTTCTTGCGTAGTTTTCGCTGGATTTCGTCAAAATGACACTTTGCATTTGGAAATTAAAAAATAGACGAAAAATAAACTCATAAAAATTAATGTGAATTTAATTATAAAATAAATAAATAAATATTATTGTGGAAAATATTAAGATATAAATATATCAATAATATTATTTTCAGTTTTGACAAAAGCGCACAACGATTTTACTGGGAAGAACTCTGCATGTTTTGATAAACACATACATCGCAATCCATATACTCCCTTTTGATACAAAACGTATCGATTCCACACAAAAACATTTGAAATATCAAAAGGGATAGTTTCAACAGCTATTTTTTTAGTTGAAAGCATTTAAAAACATTTCTCGTGGAGTTAACTGAAATATTATAATAAAAAAAATGCAAACAACAATCTGAAATAATTACAAAGAAAGAAAAATTTATATAAATTCTAATTATTTTTAAATTTTAAATTCATAAGAAGAATTATATATATAATTCTTCTTATGAATTTAAAATTTAAAAATAATTAGAACGATTGCCAATTCTATGTAACAATTATTGCTTTATTGTTACGCTTGTGCATTTTTATTGTCACTTTTTATTGATTAGGTAGATATACATAACACATATATGACATACCAATTGTTAAATGTATGCAGTACACAAATTATTGGCTGTTGAAGTGCGCTGCATTCACATGCAAATTGTAATTCAGAGTCGCTGCAGCTTATTTAACGGATGCAGGCAGACGGGCCGCCTGCTGATTTTTTTTCTTTGCTCGCGGATATGCATGCATCGTTTGTTATTTTGTTTTGAATTTCAATTTCAGGAGGGCGATTGAAATTCATGATTTTTTTTCTTCGCGACCGCCGCGGGGACGTTTGAACAGCAGGATGCACTTGTCTTATAGAAGAAAGCAAATATAATTTTATAAAATAGAAAAGAGACTTGCTTTAATTGCACGATTTTACCAGCAATGAAATAATGAAATTTGCCAGCTCTGAAATTATTTAATCAATTGTTATGGAAGATCTAAAATATTTCTGAATTCCCCAACTGGTATAAGCTTAATTTTTCAAAATTACCAGTTTATATATACTTCGACTTTATAGTTGATAATAAATTTGATCAGCAAATCTGCACATTAAAGAGTGAGATCTAATTTAGCCAAGCATCCCGAAGGAAAAAGGGGTAACTTTCTCTCTCTATCTCTCTCTGTTTTTAACTGCGGATTTTGTTTAGTCAATTAAAATGCGCTCAGCCGCACCTGAGAGCAAAGAAATCGTGCACATTACCAGTCTAATGACAAAACAGAGTAAATCCTTTCAAGCAATAAAATTTCCGAATGCAGCGACGAATTTAGGGGAAGGCAGCGAATTTATTCACGTTAATTTGTTGATTGAGAGAAGAAAAGAGATAGAAAAGGGGGTGCGCCGGAAAATATGTTTTGCTGACTTGCAAAAGTGCCGAGTCCGACCAACATTGTTTCCTCTTTTGACACAAAATAGGTCATAATTAAATCAATTCTCGCGCATTGACTCCGAATAAATGGTAGAGTGCATAAATAATGCAGAAGAGGAACAATTTTTTTGGAGAGTGGCGACGAGAAAGCCCTTGTGCTATTGAATGAACAAACAAGCACACGCTCGATATATAAGCGGCCGCTCTTCTTCTTCTCTTGCATTAGATTCACACGCGCCGCAACGAATGATTAATTATTCACAATCATCACCCCCCCGTTCGTTGACGCGAACAACAATCGGCGACAATATTTTTATCGGTCCGCGCCGAGACATGCGAGTCGCGAACAAAGAGAAGATCAGGAATTGACTTTCATCAATCTCACGCAACTACTACACAATTACGGCGGGACTTACATATGTGCTGCTGATTAATGGGCGAAAAAGAGCACGCTCATTTTTCCTCGTCGGCACAGGAAATTCGGGCCCATCATCTATCTCCCTCTCATTAAATCCACCACCAAGAGAGCAACTGGTTGAGTAAACAAACTCATCGACGCCCTCTCGCAATCTCCCCGTGTTTTTCATTCCAGCCTGTCGAGATTTGATTTCCGCGCTGGAGTGAGTTAATTTTCTTTTGTGTGTTCGGTGCGAAGTTCGAGTGGCCATTTAGTAGCACGTCTTTCTCCATCCTTCCTTGATGAAAACCTATTTTTCAGCTCACACGTGAGATAAATCGCTGATAGGAGACTGGTAATGAAATTATTTGCTAGAAAATTTCGAGCGGAAAGGAGAAGGAAACAAATCTAATTTTTGTTCTCTGTCAGAATGGGCTCTTTTCTCTCTATTCTTGGTGTTTTATGGAAGGAAAATAATAAAGGACGAGGTATAATAAATTGAGTAATTCGTCTTAAGGCGCTGCTTGTTAGGAGGTGCAATAATTACACGGTTCTAGGAATGTTGTCAATTATCCGGACGCGGCGCTAACCTTTCCTTGTTGCATTATTAATTCCTCCAATTTTTCATCTCCCTCGCGTTCGGCGGCATTCTTCTCAGAAAAGCAGGGGGAGCGGGTGAGATTTTTTAAAAGTACCACTTTTTCTCATTTCCCTCGCCCATTTAAAACCATTACTGTCAAGCTCGCGCAAGATATTGCTGCGGAGACATGCGGTGTCGCGCAGTCGGAGGTTTTAATTCCTACTTTAATTACTTTTTTATCCGCGTGCCACTCCGTTCAAGGAGTGAAGCGCACTCTTTCATAAATGAGCCAGTCAAAAGGCAAAGAGCTGTAAATGAGTTGCTTACACAAAGGAGAGGCATAATTATTCAAAATTCATTAACTAATCTTAATATTATTTCTACTTAACTTTTTTTGTTGGTTGATATTAAATTTTTTGTTTTAAATATAGAATAAATAAATTAGATTGATTGTATACTCTGATACAATTTTAAGATATAATTACTTATTTGTTTAATTTTCATTTGATTTTTAATTATTTATTTACAAAAGCCTATTACTTTAATTTAAAATTTATATTTAAATTTTTTCAAAATTAAAAGAAGAAACATTTATTTAATATAAAATAATTATGAAGGGATTATTTGTTAAAAAAGACATCGTGATAATTATCATACAAGTACAAGTCATATATTTATTTTTAGTAAAATTGTTACAATGTTACAAAATTTCCTTACAAATATTTCCACAGACACCTTATATCTTAAAATGAGTAAATAATGGCAGTTTTTTTTTAATATCAAGTTCTAAAATAACTTTAAAGATTTGACACTTGCGTTGAAACAAAATTATGTCACTGAAGAAAGGTGGTTCCTCCCAACTTTGACACGAGTGCTTCTCTCTGCCTGGAGGATGCTGTTGTCAACCACAAAATCATTGCCGAATCTTCGCTCGCAGTGAATTTTATGCGCCTGCAACAGTAATAATAATAAACTACTCGATAACTTTTAAATTTAAGATCTTAATTGCGAGCTATTAAATAAAAAAAGTTTTTATATAAAATAAAATTTCTTTTAATTTAAAATTCAATTAACCTGATGATTGTTTCTGGGCCTGTTGGTTGATGGGATCTGTTTGCCTCCTTCCCAGTGTTTCTCTTTTGTGCAACAACTTTCGCAGAAGTCTTCAATTTTATTGCAGCAGGTTCTCTGTCTTGAGTGATTGCAGGGCCCACCAGATTGGTGGTCGTCGTCAGGTCGTCGGCCTCCTCTTCCTGGACGATTTTCTCTGCACCTTCTACCGCCACTTCTCGATGATGAGGGCTCTTGCGAAGAGTCTAATTAAAAACAAAATTTTCTTTAAAAATTAAATTAATTTGTTAAAAATAATTCACCTCCAGAGGATGGTGGAGGCGGTGGAGGGTATTGTTGGTGCGGCATGGGAAGGAGCGGCAGCCCTTGCTGGATGAGCGTTCGAAGCACCAGGTAGAGCTCGGTGAGAAGTCTTTCGAGTCTTTGGTAGTGTTCCTCGGGGTCGATGACGTTGCACGGACGAGCCATGGCTCTTGTGCCGATCGGCTTGCCTGTCGAGACAAGAATGATTCCATCAGGGGTTGTTGTGCAATCGGTGGTTCGCCAACGCGAAAGGAGGCGCAGACGCGCGCGGGGTGGTGGTAGGGGGCTGTTTTGTTGCTTTGTTTGGGGGCGAGACGAGAGAATATTGTGCTGAATACACAGACAGGAGGTACTTGTTGGTGCGACCATTGATTTGCAATCCCCACAACATATTTAAATGTTTGCTTAGAAGTGGGGTGAGAGGGGTGGAGGGATGATTCTTCGCTGGCGTGCCAAAGTATAATTATAATATCAGTGTTTCAATATTTGACCAGAAACAAAAGTGGCCACATTAAGATTAATGTGAAAATAATTTGTTTTCATAATCCCACTCAATTTCAAGTCCTCGTTAAAAATTAACCATTTTTCGTGCTTTTATTGGAAAAATATAATTATATTTTTTTGGGGAAATGCGTGAATGATAGATGAGGTGCTGCTTCTCAGTCCGGTTAAATTCACCCATCCATGCAATGCGTCTTGCGAATGTCATGATCTGATGACTGCACACACGCGCGGCCTTTGCTATCCATCACTAGCAGGGTAGCCGCCGGAACTTCATCTCGATCCGTCTCTCTCTGGTGCCATAGCCGCGAGCGCCGCAATTCTGACACGCAGCGTGGTATCTTTTATTGTCCATTCGCCAGACAAAGCGCTGATTATCTCGCTGCGCTCGCCGGCCAAATGAGTTGGCTCACACTTCAGTGTCAGAAGCAGCGCCTGCAGCCCCTCACGATCGATAATCAGATTGACCTAACTCGCTCCTACTTCTCTGCCATCAGCTTCCTGTGCTTTTAATTGCCACATAATAGCAAAATACTCCACGAATTTTAATAAAACGACCATATTTATGCAAAAATTTAGTCAATAAATAAATAAATTTATCTATTTATTAAAAATTTATTTATTTTATTAATTTATATTTTGCCTATTTTGGAAGTGAAGAAATCATATTTCTTCCTCGCTGTAAAATTTTATATTCTCGAATAAAATTATTTTGTAAAAAAACAAAACGGCTCTACCAGTTTATATTTTAAATTTTTTGTATCTAATTAGCAAATATAGGAAAATAATCAGCTAAAGAGCCAGAAAAGATTTGACTATTTATAAAATTGATCATTTTATTACTTGAAATTTTTGTTATCTATTATTTGAAATTGAAAAATACGAGGCAGTATCTTTTCAATCTTATAGTTTTGCTTAAAAATTGCCATCATCAAATTAGCATCAAGTGCAGCTCTCTGATAATCACACAATCCAATAACCTCATAATAACCAAATAATCCTTCTTCCGCTTGACTAGAGCGGTTCTATGATTATTGCCGCGCCGCCACAGATACAGTTTGCTGAGGGCAGCTCGTCAAAATCACACCACAAAAGCGGCATTAGCCTTTCCGAGGAACGGGAATCGAAGAGTGATTTGTATTAATTTGGCCAGATTAGCCAGCTGTCTGTGTAAAGTGGATGCCCCCGACGAGGTCATTGTTAGACAACCCGCGCGCCACTCATGTCGAACAAAAAGCCTAATCACAATTGGGTGCTCTGCCAACAGCGACCAATATTGTCGCTCGCACAATAGCGGCATAATGAAGGAAAGTGTATTATTCGATCAAGTGCGGCGTGGAAAAAACGAGGGAGAAAAATCGATTTGCCAATCTTGTTCACATTAATTCCATTTTTTCCCTTCAAATAATGTTTGTTTTGTGGTTCGGGTGGTAATTTCTGAGTGGAATTTATTTAGATTCGGTCGCATTAATCTAGTCTAGCTCACGCGTGCATACATTATAAGTCCACGTTTAAGGCAGCAAAGAGAGGGGTGGCTCGGCAGGCAGATTAGTCGTCCGTTCTCTCTCTCTCTCTCTCTCTCTCTCTCTCTCTCTCTCTCTCTCTCTCTCTCTCTCTCTCTCTCTCTCTCTCTCTCTCTCTCGAGTAATTTGTGGCTCACATGCGCTTATCTTTGGCAAATTGCTGCGATGTGATGACCAAGGATTTAATTGTTTACTCCATTAAGATAGGCGGCGAACAGGGCAATAAGGAGCGGCAATAATCCAGGATGTGTGCAATCAAGCAATTTTACGCCGGAGAAAATCGCCTTCGGAAGCGGCACAATCGCTTTTTATGCGCTCGCCACCAGAACTCAAACATTCAAAGAAGGGGATTTTCGGATTTTCAGATACCTTGCACCAGAAGAGTGTGCTTGGACTATCTAAACTGCACATCTCTGGTAGAGACACGCTTTATATAATTTTATTTATTTATCAAAAATCTTCTCCTCGCTCTTCTGCGTAATTGTTGACACAGAACCGACGCACTTAGAAAATTGTGTGGCCAAACTGTGGAAAACAATTTTTCGTGGCGGACATAAAAAATTGACCGAATTCTCCCCAAAATCGCTTTATCATAATTTAAATGTGGCGGTGCGAGATGACAAGAGGCGATATGATCAATCATCAACCCTCCTTCCGCGACTCTCTTGACTTCATGTTCGCGTTTGTCTGTCTATATCTCTCTCCACAATAATAGTGGCTGACAGTCGAGAGATGAGTTTGATCGCGACGCACACACGCGGCGAATTTGTAATTCAAGAGCAAATGCATTCATCACGTAATTTGACTGTAAAGGCATCAATCGATTCCATTTATCAGGAAAAGCCAGACGCGGAGTCACGCTAATTTTTATTGTGATCATTCAAAACAAGGAATAATATAATGCGTTCTGTGAAAGGACCTCTCAAAATTTGATGTATCGCGCTTAATTCCTCTTGGTTTGCACGGGACATTTTCATATTCAATTCACCAATTTCTGCTCCAAAGAATCACATTTTAAATTATTATTTCCGCTAATCCATCATTAAAACTGGGGGAGTCCAAATTATTGCAAGTTAATAAAAGCTGAATTAATTAAGAAAATTTCCTTTTCGCTATTTTGGCTGGAATTTCGAATTGATATTCTAACGTCGTCGCGGCCCTCAAAAACGCGAATTCAGTTATGAGTCAGATAATGCACGTGCAGTTTTATTGGCTAATATAACGCGGCTGGAGTTAAGACGCTTAATTAAAATGGTTTAATGACACTCTCACGGAATATTACCACCTTAAAAGCATGTTTACGACGCCGAGAGGGAAAAATCAAGCCATTCGCAAGCGCCGGCAATAACGCAATTTTTTTCAGGCATTGTCTTATTAAAGCAGGCCGGTTGCGTAACTAATGTTTGTTTCGCTAATGGAGTGCTCGCAGCCTTTGTCCTTTGCTCGTCGGTTTTGCACAGGCAACTCTGGCGGCGGGCAGACGGCAAGCCCACATTACACACACATACAATTGCAACAACAGCGAGTGCTTTCGAGATGAGAGAGAAAGAGGGGGTGGATTGAACGTTGGGGAGAATGGCTGGCTGTGCATTTCCACCCCCGGCGTGTTTCATCCCCCGGCAGCTTTATCTGTTGGCTGGCTGCGGAATATTCAATAATGATAATATCCATCTCTCTCCCTTCTTTCCGTGCGAATTCAATGCAATCGCTCACCATCAGCGCGCAGACAGTCACAGATTCTGCTACTCTTGTCCACAAATGGATGTGCGAAATTAATAAAAAAAGGGGGGTTTCAATTTTTAATATGAAGAAAAAGTAATAATATAACAGTGTTTTAAATGATTTAAAGCTTTTAATTTCAAGTAAAAATCTTGTGTTTAATTTAGCACCAAATTAAAAGAGGCTGAACCAACTTTGAATATGAAACATTTGAAATTAAAATTAATTTGTGAGTTTTCTATATAACGAAGTATCAATTTAATTTTTTTACTCAAATGAATAAGGGCAAGAGTGAAGTTCCAGTTGATTTTAATTCATCCAGTTTCAGAATAAACAATAAAAAGCGTTTGAGGCTAGAAAATATGACCATAATTTTATTTCTATCCTTTAAAAAAAATCGTTAAAATAATATATTACTTAATCAGGTTAACATTAAGGAAAATAATTATATTTCATTATTTATAATTAGGTAATTATTCTAAAAAATTTGGAAAACAATCATAGCAACTTTTCTGTTTGCATGCTTTTTTTTAGTAAATTTCCTTTCAATTTTTTAATTTTATTTGATAAAATTTTGAAAATTACCTTTGATTTAGATTAGAGAATGCTCCTAAAATAGGGTGTTTTCTGCTGTTGAAGACGAGGACACGAAATAAACCTCCAAATATAGGATTTGCTCATTTTCTGTCCGAGCAGCAATATTTCTCTCCACTCAGCTATGTAAATTAGCCATCCAACGTGTCAAACAAGTGCACGCAGGGTGGCCTCCCTCGACGCATTCCGCGGCATTTCACATATGTGCTGTTGCGTCTGGCAGCACTCCTTGACTCACAATTAGCTCGGCTGAAAAATGAGATGCGCCTCCCTTTGGAGTCAAACGCACACATGCCTCTCGAGCAATTCACCACCACCTGCAGCATCTCTCACCCCTGCCTGTGCACGTGAATAGATAAATCGAAAGGCGAGTGAATGAGATTGTCGCGCCGTATATAGGTGATAGCCAGGGACACAATCATTGTTATGGGTTCGCAAAGCAGCGAGGAGTGATTCCGTTTTCGTTTGCGATAGGAAAACTTGGCGTGCGACCAGGCACTAAGAAGTGTTATCGCCACACGCCTTAGATAAAGATTTCACTCGGAAATCAATGGGAAAGCAGATTCGATGGAATTATTCGGGGCCGTGTTGCTTTGATAATTTAGCAGGAGGAGGAATGGGGACGATGATATTTATGAGAATTGGCAGTGCTGATTTGATAAAGCCGGCCTTAATTAAGAGAGGGGCGAAAAGAACACACGAGACAAAGTGCTCAGGTGTTATTCGCGGCAATCAAAACGAATGGTCTCGTCGCGCTTAAAAATTTATCTGATTAAAACATCGCGCCTGCTGCTGCAGACTCTGCAGAGAGGAGAAAGAAAATGACATCGAGAATATAATCCTCT